CGTCTATTCCCACCAACAAGCCAAAGTGGAATAATTTCATCAAAGCTTTGGATTGGTTTGGTACTCACCAGCCAGACATCCTGTGTCTTCAAGAGACACATCTCACAAATAGTCAGGACCATTAAATAGTCCAGCAAGAGATTCTTAGAAGACTAAGATGGATTAAGCAAGCCAATTGGCTTCGTCCTAAAGGGTTAGCTCTTCAGGTTCTGCGGTTATTTTTCATTCTAAATCTAGGGCAGCTCAGACGCTACAAGTAGATGCAGCTCTTAGCGATAAGCTCTTAGCGATAACAGAGAGGGAAGATGGGTCAAAGTAGATTTTGAGTGCAAACAAGATTGTTTCCGCCTGCTTTCATTGTACTGTCCTAGCTCTCAGCAACAGAGAGCTGAGCTCATTGACTCTCTTTCCCCGTATTGTACCACTCCTCATCTGATTTTGGCGGGAGATTGGAATGCGACACTAGAACAGGGCCTAGATAGAATGTCTGGGGGAACATCAGCAATGGAGGGAGCAGTTTGGGACAAGGCAGCAGCTATACACAACCTCATGACGGAACACCAACTGATCGACCCATATCGTATGAGACAACCCTCAACTAGAGCTTTCACTTGTCTCAAGCGCAATCGTAGTCAGCACAAGATAGAGTTCTTCCTAGTCTCAGAGCAACTTCACGGAGCAGTCCAAGCAACGGGCATTAGTCAACTGCCACATGCAGCGGGGTTAGATCACTAAGTTATATACCTTAACTTACTTCCAGGCACAGGCCCAAAAAGAAATGGAACTGGATATCATGAGTCTTTCTTCAAAAGCGGTGATCATTCATAAGCACAAATCAGCATTCCTACGTCCAGCCCACATATTGTCTTTGGTCTCTTCAGGGCACCTCACGGTAAATGACTCGCACATTGCATGATTGCAGCACTCATGTTCTTATAAAACTCTTGTAATACTCACTCTTGTAATACTCTATCCCAAGGACTGAAAACCCGAGAAATTACGCATACCTGATTGTCATGCACATAAGCAAAAGACAATCGCACACAGGCCCAAACAAGAGTCATTTCCCAATCCTGACAGGATTCATGCTGCAGACACCCAGTCCCGGTCCCAGGGTCTCGACAAGTCCCAAGTCCCAGGGGCGTCCGGTAGGGTAGGCCGTAGGGGTTAGAGGCCAAAGTGTCGTAGGTCGGTAGGTGTTGGTACCGAAGCGTTGTAGGTCGGTAGGAGTCCATGCGGAACCCGACAAGAAAAGTCCAGAAGCGTCCAGTCCAGTCGGACAGTCAGTAACAAGTGCAACGGTCTGCCTAATTGTCTAGCAAGGTTCCTCTCCTGGATTTAGAACCAAGAACAAGGCAGGCCTCGTACTAGGCAAATAAAAGCATGCCAAAAAGAGGGAATTACGCCCAATATCTGGCAGCCCAGGGAGGCTAAAGAGGCTGTTCTCATCTGCTCTGTTTGGAGTCTGTTATCTTAGCCGAGGCCGGGTAATGGCCCCATACTGTCATAAATTATGTAATTTACTAATTTTCTAATTTCCAGAAAGGCCCGATTCCCAGCACGTGCTGCTCCCAGCGAATAGATTGGAGTTCTTTTTTCACAAAAAAAAAGAAAAAAGGATTGTCCTTTGTGCGAGGCTCAAGGCCTCAATACGCCCTACTGGGCCCTATTTTCAGTACAGTCGGCCGCCCTAAGTGAAGGCAGGCTCGACCAAGGCCTACAGGCCCATTTTTGGGGTCACCACGCAACTGGGGAAATTCAGGCAGTTGCACAGCGCCAGTTGGTTGAGAGCACCTAGACCCAGGCTGCCTTTTCCGTATGTAACTGAGGCAGGCCCTGGGCCAGATACGCAACATGGGCCGAACACAGGCTGCGAGCAGTTGGGCACAGGAAAACACCACAGGCCCTGGGCCTGATTCGTTCGCACTGGGGCTCAGCCTCACGGGGCCTACCGGAAGCTTCTGGACTGAGGCCCAATGCAGGCAGGCTGCACGCATCAGGCAGGTCACTTCCATTTAGGAAAGTGCCTGCCCCAGCACTCCTCATTCGGGCACTCGCTGCATGCTGTGCAAGCGCTGCTGCGCTAACGCTGGCCAGCGCTCACGCGCTCACGGGCGAGCGGGAAGGAGCAGGCAGCCATAGCCGAGTTGCGCTGCTGTATGCTGGATGGGGCGCATGGTGGTCCTTGGGTGCATGTGGCATCTGTGAGTTGGGGATCGAGGGTATGAGTGAGGCGAGAGACATACCTGGTGCTTRAGGCGAAYGGCATTSGCCGAGATCTGCTCGTRCTTCRGGGAGCTGTTGACGTCATCAGCGRCATTGTAGRTAGGMTMGATAGRATCTGCCATTTGTAGTCTGGGCGCCGAGCGCCARATAGGATGTCGACATTGGTTCTTTGTTGATGATGATSAGACTATTYGAACATTGTCACTTRTGAGSTTTTGSTGTGCTCTTATTTGGTGGGACTTGTGTTGCAATTCTGCTTTTGGTTCGAGGTCACGACTATCTGGTCTCATGTGTATGATGCTGCTTGGTTTCTGAAGTTCGCTATTGCTCATTTTCCTTGCGGTTTGGCATCGGAGCTGTGGTACGGTGCGCTAATCTAGCGCTTGTCTTCTGCCTATGCGGTACATGCATGCGGTCTGCTGGGCGAGCGGCCGTAGAGAGTGTGTAGTGAGGAGGGTGAAGGCAAGTAGGGCGACACGAGAGGTGAGGGGTATGGCCAGGAAGGCTAAGTGGTGAAAGTGGGTGTTCGCAGTGTGATGAGAACTATCCGATGTGCGATTGATGCTGAGGTGGAACGGCGGAGTAATGCTGGTTGTGTCGAAGCAGTGATTGGTCATCACAGTCGGCATCAGGTCATCTGGTGAGAATATCTGTGGTTGGGGGCAGCTATTTTGAGGTACGTTGCACCTAACCCTATCAACCCTCTTCGACACTTCTTACCTTGAGGATGTGTGTTCTGTCTTGAGAGTCCTCTCATGTGAGGAGTCGAGTGCGCTCAACCTTGAGAATCGACATTGTTCACGTGGAGCATCTGGAAGGAGAGGGCGGAGTTATCTGAAGGGCCCTGGACGCACTGGGTCACGGTCACCATGCCAACCCACCGGGAGTAGAGCATGCATGCTTTGCTGCTTTGTCCTTTGTCTGCTTGCTGTGCTGATAGATGGGTTATGAGGGGCAGGCCAGACCTGCAGGGGAGACGAGAACCGGGCGTCTATAAATAAACACCGGCGGGGTACCTTCCATTGGCTGTGATCGTCGTCCTGTCTTCGACGTTAAAGAATTCATGAGGATTGCGGGGGCCGTCCTTAAACGCCTCCTGATCAGCCAATCGGTCGGTGTAAGGCTCGCTGCACGCGAGCATAAACAATGTGTAGGGCTGGCCAGCTCAGCATACACTCGGGGCACAGGGGCGGGCCGTGTGCACACCTTTAGACACGCAGAGGGACGCTGACGTCAAGTGACTATCAAGAGGAACTAAGGGAGGGGTCTTTTTTATTTTGATTAGTTAGATGAACTGCCATTGACATCTGACAGACAGGATAGGTAGAAACAGTTTCTGCTCAATTGCTTCTCTGTTTGCGGACTAGTCAAAGTAAAATAGTTTTGTTTGTAGGAATCTGGACTACCTGTTGGACCCGAATGTATAGACTCTGAAATACCCACCGGTTAATTAATTTATTTATTTTTAAATCGGTCTATGCATAGCGCTGTGGTGGGCATTGAGTGTGACCTAGTGCAGATTGTGTATAGTTCTGTAACTTATGAGCAACAGGGAGACCACTAGCGAGGACACAGGATCTTGCGATTGCATAGACGCCCGATAGCCCACGTGGCATTAGGACCCAAGGGTGACAGGTTACTGTTCCACCAGCTTAGGGAGAGACAGCAGCAGCACCAGAGAGCTAGGGCAGAAGAGGCCAGCAGGGCGTTAGCAAGCGAAGCTGCTGCTTCAGCAGCCATGGCAACTGCTGCGCAGCAGAGTTTCCAGGCCAGCAGTTCAGGGACCGTAGGGTCAACAATTGCACAGACCCTGAGTCAGTTCACTGTCGTTATGGCAAGCCAGCCAATAGTGTTGACCCCTGAAGTGGTCGCCATACAGCAAGCAAAACTTCGTGAGACACAGCTGCAGAAGGCTTTAGGAGAGATAAAGGCGGAGAAAGAAAGAATGATCAGAAGAACATCAAGGATGCAGTGGAGACAAGCGGACATTAGTGAGTTAGAGGCGATGGACCTGACAAACATGGATGGAGATGTGAGGACCCTGCGTGCAGTCCTGCTAGATGTAGTGGAAATGCAGGACCATCAGACGACTCTCTTACAAGACATCAAACAGAGCCTGGCCGTGCTGGTTGGGCGAGCTTAGGCAACACCATCACAATCAGGGCTTGGTGCCTGGCCTGTGGTACAGCCTCCTCCTTTCATCCCACCGGTGACTGGAGTATGCCCATTTGCCTCTCCAGCATCTCCGTCGCAGGTTGCCGTAACTGGGCAGTCTGTTGTCTCGCAGCCGGCACAGCCACAGGGCACATAGCCCCAACAGCAACTTGTGCATCAACCTGCCCCCCAGGGTCCACAGCCCGGAGTGGGGCAGGTACTGGGACAAAAACAGTGGGTTCCAAAGACGGCCATCGCCTCACCCAAACCCTTCTCAGGGGACAAGAGGGGCAAAGACCTTGACACATGGTTGAGGTCAGTCTCTGTTACGTTCAAGTTAACCTTGCCGCACGAGAAAGTTCTTGTGGCTGCCTCCTATCTTGAGGGGAGTGCAACAAGATGGTTAAGCGGGCTAGTGCAACTTCAGGGGTACGGACATGACTTCCGCGCTTGGGCAGTCAACCAGAAACTGGAAGATTTCCTAAAGATGGTGGAGGAGAGGTGGCATGATCCTCAGGAGGCACAAAAGGTCACCGACGCGATCCTGACTCTGAGCAATAGACCGTTCAAGTCAGTTAAGGGATGCCACAAACGGAGTAAAGCGTCTGGTTGGTGTACCTGGAGTGTGTTATGACCCCCAAGTCTTGCTAACCACTTACCTGAGATGTCTCCCTATGCCACTCAGGAATTAGTTGGCGGGCGAGGCAACCATGAATGTACACAACTTCCCCTCGTTTAGCAAGAATGCCCTAGACCTGGATGCTAAGATAGGGCATGGGCACCAACCCACGACGGATGGTAGGAAGAAAACACCGCCTCCCAACTGGAAGGCGAAGGATCGCATCATGTTCGTCGACAACGATGGTTCTACCATCGAATTAGATGACGACTTCCAGGAAGGAGTAGGTACAGAGGCAGGCAGCGTAGAAGCTTCAGGGGGTGGAGCAGTCGTTGCCTCAGTGCAAGAAGGCAAGGCGACCGGTAGACGCCGTGGAGTCTCCCGGTTTAGGAGTCAAGTTGACCCCAATGCTCCTCCATGGGAGAAAGCGGGTCTCACAGAGGACGTAAGGAGAGACTGGTACACCAGGCAGGCCTGTACTCGTTGTGGTCAATATGGCCATAACCAGTTCAAGTGCCGCAATAGGAAGGTGACGGAAACGATCCCGCCTACGATGGGGCAGGCGTTGGGATCCTCCGCTCGCGTAGGTAGCAATGTTGCCAGTAGGTCGGGAACTGCTCCGGGAAACACATCGGGCCAGTAGGAATAGTAGTTGTTCCTACCAGGGTCGAGGTGGTGGACACACCCTCACCATCTCGAGAGATGGCCCAAGCTACTGGCTCTGTTGCCGTCCCACAAAGACATTCAGACCCAACGATCCTCTGTTCGCTGAATGTGTTCGAGTCCTTAAAGGAGCTAGAGGAGGAGTGGTCTAGATCGGACCCACTAGCTTCTTGGACGGCCATGGCCAAAGCCCTTAAGGGTGAGTTGTTCGTCGGCGAGGTGGTCATTGGCGGCCGCAAGGCCAGGGCCTATTATGACACTTGCTCGACGCGGAATTTTATTAGTCGCGCGTGCGTTGACAGGCTGCGCTTACAAGGGCAAGTGCAGCACCTGAGTCGACATGTGCCAACAAACAAGGCATGGTAGCAACCGACTACCTTAAGGACATTGAGTGTCTTTTCCCGTACGTGGGAGGGGAATTGAGGCATCGTGTCTCTTTCCTAGTCAGCGATGATCTCCCTATGGATATCCTGTTAGGTATGTACTACCTCTCGGTTGCACAGCCCCTTTTTGACAGGGACCAAAAAGTGGTCAAACACACTTTGCCCAAAGGGGGGACCACCAGATTACGTAATTTTAAGGCTAGTAGTCTGATCGAGTCCTACGGATGCATGTGTGTGGCCACGTTCTATAATTATTATAAGCAAAATTCGGAGGAGGGTATGTACTTAGTATATGTCTCTGCAGCAGGCGAGCCGGTGAAAATGTTGCCGGAGATAGAGGGAGTGGTCGCTAAGTACCCAGATCTATTTGAAGGGCCGAAAGGGGTTGTTGAGAGGGAGGTCGTCCACGCGATAGAGATTATCCCAGGGTCTAGCATTCCGAAGGGTAGGATCTATCGGATGTCTCCAGGCGAGCTCGATGAGCTTCGCCGGCAGGTCAAGGAATTCATAGAGAAGGGTTGGATCCAACTTAGTGTCTCCCCTTACGGGTCTCCAGTTTTATTTGTACCGAAGAAGGGGGGAACCTTGAGGATGTGCATTGACTATAGAGGCCTCAATGCCATCACCGTGAAGAACGCAGAGCCCCTACCGTGCATTGATGACTTGTTGGACCGAGTGCAAGGGTGCCGGTACTTCAGTAAGGTAGACTTGAAGTCCGGGTGCTATCAGATTGCAATCCGGCCCGAGGATCCTGTACCTCCATGACATACTTATCCTCAGTAGGACTGTCGAGGAGCACGTTAGTCACTTAGACAAAGTCCTTAGCCTCCTTCAACAGCACCAGTTCAAGATCAATGGGGAGAAATGTGAGTTTGGCCGCACCTGGATCTTGTATCTGGGTCATGAGATTTCTGTCGAGGGATTCAAGCCCGATGACGCGAAGGTGGCCAGCATTCATGATTGGCCGCGTCCTCAGTCTGTGACTAAGATGAGGTCCTTCTTGGGGATGACCGGCTACTACCGTAATTTTGTCAAGAACTATAACATAGTGGTCGCCCCGTTGACGGACCTGACACGCCTTGACACCCCTTGGGAGTGGACAGACAGGTGTGAGGCTGCTTTCAGACATCTGAAGCATGACCTCGCTCACCATGAGGTCTTGAAACTATCCGATCCTGAAAAGCCATTTGTTGTGACCACGGATGCCAGCCAATATGGCATTGGTGCCGTACGTGCGCAGCAGGAGGGGAAAAAGTTAAGGAAGGTAGAGTACATGTCCAAAAAGATGCCCTCTCAAAAGCAACAAGTTCACTTATGAGAAGGAACTCTACGCGATTTACAAGTGTTGACTCACTGGAGACATTACCTCCTTGGTCGCTTCTTCTACGTCAGGACTGATCATCAGACCCTGAGGTGGATGAAGACTCAACCGGTAGGATCGAAGTGATAGAGCAATATGACTTTGAGCCTCAGTACATCAAGGGGGAGTATATGCGATGTCGCGTAGGCCAGACTTCCTGGGTGCGCTGGTCACAGAATTTGGGCTTGCGGACATGCGGACAGTGTTACCTAGTCTTTGGTGGAAGCCTATCGCGTTCCTTGAGAAGGCCGGGAATACACACTTGTGTGTTCCAAAGCGGGAGTCTTTGCGTAGTTTATCTTTAGGCGAATGTCATGATGCCAACGGACATTTTGGGTATAGGAAGACTGCAGCAAATCTGTTGCAGCAGTTCTGGTGGCCCACAATGATGAAAGATGTGAAGCTGTACGTGGAGACTTGCCAGGTGTGTCAGAGAGACAAGCCATGTACACAGGCCCCTCTTGGGCTTCTCAAGCCCCTTTCGATTCCAGAAAGGCCCGGTGACAGCCTGTCTATGGATTTCATGGACAAACTGGTCACCAGCAAGAGTGGAATGAGATATATCTATGTCATTGTGGATAGGTTTAGTAAGTATGCTAGATTAGTTGCAATGCCTGCTACAGCTAAGACCGAGTATGTGATCAAGCTGTTCAAAGAGAACTGGGTCAGAGACTTTGGGCTTCCAAAGTCTATTGTGAGTGACAGGGATGTCAGATTCACCAGTGATTTGTGGAAGGCAGCAGCTGCAGAACAGGGAGCACAGCTGCAGATGACTTCTGGGAACCGCCCAGAGGCAAATGGCCAAGCAGAGCAACTGAACGGCGCTGTACAACACCTGTTGCGGCACTACATTAAGCCCAATCAGGTGGACTGGGATGAGAAACTTGCTCTCATCGCCAGCCTGTACAACAACTCTGTGCACAGAGCCACTGGGGTAAGCCCTAACAGTCTGCTATTGACTTTCAAGCCTAGACTGCCCCTAGACTTTCTACTACCTGACAACCAGCCAACTGCTGCCTTGGGCACACTTGAATTTGCCTATCGTTATGAACAACTGATGCAGCAGGCAGTAGAACAGATGCGTAAGGCACAGGCGGCAATGATAGAGTCTGAGAACAAACACTGCCGCGCTTCTACATTTCAGGTAGGGGACAGAGTCTGGGTAAAGTCCTCAGATCTGGGACAGGAGCACGGGATCTCCCGCAAGCTCATGCCAGAGTACTTTGGACCATGGGAGGTTCTGGATGTTGTTGGGGGAGATCCGGATGGGCCATCTTATGTAATCCGCATTGGTCATCTTCGCACTTACCCTGTCTTTCACGCCTCCAAACTCGCACCTTTCGAGGAAACTGATCAGTTTCCCTCTCGTCGCTCAATGCTGCCCCCAACCATGGATGGAGAGGTCGACATCGATGACATCGTGGACCACAGGGAAATGCCAGTTCCAAGACCAACAGGCAGGGGACGTCCTCCTAAGCCGAAGCTGCAGTATTGCGTTTGGTTCAGACATGACAATGATCCTAAGGAGGACAGATGGTTTACCAGGGAGGAGAATTGATGCAGACCGCTCCACAGGCTGTCGCACACTACGAGAAGTCACTGCAGAAAGGAAAGCGCCAGATTGAGAATGGGACTTCTCAGAGGATATGGAGGAGGGAATGTGAGGCCCAAGGCCTCGATGCACCCTACTGGGCCCTATTTTCAGTACAGTTGGCCGCCCTAAGTGAAGGCAGGCTCGACCAAGGCCTACAGGCCCATTTTTGGGGTCACCACGCAACTGGGGAAATTCAGGCAGTTGCACAGCGCCAGTTGGTTGAGAGCACCTAGACCCAGGCTGCCTTTTCCGTATGTAACTGAGGCAGGCCCTGGGCCAGATACGCAACATGGGCCGAACACAGGCTGCGAGCAGTTGGGCACAGGAAAACACCACAGGCCCTGGGCCTGATTCGTTCGCACTGGGGCTCAGCCTCACGGGGCCTACCGGAAGCTTCTGGACTGAGGCCCAATGCAGGCAGGCTGCACGCATCAGGCAGGTCACTTCCATTTAGGAAAGTGCCTGCCCCAGCACTCCTCATTCGGGCACTCGCTGCATGCTGTGCAAGCGCTGCTGCGCTAACGCTGGCCAGCGCTCACGCGCTCACGGGCGAGCGGGAAGGAGCAGGCAGCCATAGCCGAGTTGCGCTGCTGTATGCTGGATGGGGCGCATGGTGGTCCTTGGGTGCATGTGGCATCTGTGAGTTGGGGATCGAGGGTATGAGTGAGGCGAGAGACATACCTGGTGCTTRAGGCGAAYGGCATTSGCCGAGATCTGCTCGTRCTTCRGGGAGCTGTTGACGTCATCAGCGRCATTGTAGRTAGGMTMGATAGRATCTGCCATTTGTAGTCTGGGCGCCGAGCGCCARATAGGATGTCGACATTGGTTCTTTGTTGATGATGATSAGACTATTYGAACATTGTCACTTRTGAGSTTTTGSTGTGCTCTTATTTGGTGGGACTTGTGTTGCAATTCTGCTTTTGGTTCGAGGTCACGACTATCTGGTCTCATGTGTATGATGCTGCTTGGTTTCTGAAGTTAGCTATCGCTCATTTTCCTTGCATTCGCTGTGTTCAGTGATTAAGGGTTGAACCAACCGAAGAGGAAAGGTCAGATGCTGAATACAGAATTCCTGAGAACTCGTTGGATCCCGCAATTAAGATAGAGGGAAGAGTCCATATTGCACGGATGAGGAGGCGAAGGTCCAGTGTTGCTGTGTTTTGTCATGCTGTTTCTTTATTCGTATTGAAGTGGTGGAGGAGGTGCAGGGGTAGGATGAAATGAGAGGTTATCTTTCTTTTTGTCTTCAATGCGAAGGAGGGTGAGCAGCACAAGTAGAGGTGGATGGCAGGAGGGGGAGGGGGAGGGGGAGGAGAGCAACGGGATATTAGCCAGATGTCAAAGGAGGGGAAGGAAGGTTGTATGGAGGCGGCAGAGGAGGGGAAGGATGATGATGAGGTATTTGGGGAGTTCTCATAATAACAATGAGACGAAGGGCAGGATGGTTTCTTCTTCCCATGCACAGAGGTGGAAAAGGTGGGGACACGAAAGGGGAGGAGGGGGAAGAGGGAGTAGAGAGGAGCTGGAGAAAGCATAAGTGTTTTCCCCCCTCTTCCTCCCCACCCACTCCCTTCGTCCTATTCATATCAAACACTGAGAGTGACTGTTCTCGTTTGGCAATAACGCAGTGGGGAGGATCATCTGCCTGGTGCCGTCTGACAAAAAGAAAAGTGGGTCGAACAAAACTCTCATACGTCCACCTACACGTTTTTCTTTTTCTTTTTTTTTGTCCAGCAAAAAAAACATTCATGCATGCCATGAATGTGCTTATATACCTCCTTTATCTTTGGTGCTCAAAGCCTCAACAGGTCATCGAATGTATTGTTCTCAGTCTACACTTGCTGTGAAATCTCACTAGATCTGGAAAACTGTCTCTGCACCCAAAGGACTGGCCTTTCGTTTCCGCTAGACCGCCAGTTCACGGCCCCAGCCTTGCTGAAAAGAAAACTCGTCGCCTATGAAAATTTCGGAGGTCCAGCGTCGTAGATAAATTGAAGCGGCGGCGGGCGGCCTCCGAAAAGGTCCCGCGGGGGATAGCTGGATGTACTGGTGGTTTAATACTTGGAAATCGCCTCCTGTACCCTATGGCAGATGACTGACTTTAAACAAATCGGATACAGAGTGCACAATAATTACCACACTGTAATATGCATTCACTTGCTTCCAAGCGTTGGACATAGGAGCTGCTTATGTACTGACAGTTCAGTGGAGAGCTGCTTATGTACTGATAGTGCAGCGGGGAGCTGCTTATGTACTGATAGTGCAGTGGGGAGCTGCTTATGTACTGATAGTCCAGTTGGGCTGGTTTATCATGTTTGCTTCGGTATGTTGTTTCCCAGCACGGCCAAGGAGTTCCTATCGCTGTGAGGCACATCGAGAGCATGATCCGGATGTCGGAAGCCCATGCACGTATGCACCTTCGTTCATATGTCAACGATGATGATGTTGACACGGCAATACGTGTGATGCTCGAGTCTTTCATCTCCACGCAGAAGTACGGTGTACAGAAAGCTCTCTCCAAGGTAAGCTTCCTGGTGACAGTGATTTTTGTTCTGCTTATAATTTTAATTCTTCTCAAATCTTTCATTCATTTGTTCGTAAAAGAAACCATGGTTGCAGTCTGGGCGTCCGGGCTATCTGGAAGCTTAGTCCCGACAGATCCCACCAGGGCCAATTTCGGGAATTCCTCTCCTCCCTCGTTTCCACCTTGTTTGACATGACCTTCTCTTCCACAACTCGTATTTCCCCAGGGTTCCACCCACTTCAACAAACCCCATCCACCTTCCCCCCTCCTTCACTCACATCTGCAATCCCGTTCAGTGCTCCCCCATCAGAAAACAGAAACCATGCTTCAAAATAGGTGTGAAAGTATTTTAAGATACCGTAAAATTATGAAAGTACTATCAACGTGGCAACGAATGAGGAAGAGGTAGAAGAGGTAGAAAGAGGCGGGAAGGCGTTCATGTAGCCTGCAGGATTTGAACTGATAAGCATCAACTAACGCACACACAGACGGGAGAAGAGGTAGAAAGAGGCAGGGAGGGGGGTTCCTGTGCCCCAGGGTTCGAACTCATGACCTGTTTACCAACAGCTGCACGTGAATCCACAAAGAAAATAGAAACCGAAATGTACAGTCATGTTGACATCGACCTTATCATGGTTCTTCTTCTTCTTCTTCTTCTACTTCCTTGTCGTCGTCATCCGTTCCTCCATCTCCCACCTGGAACTGCATCTGTGTATGATACTATGAGTATAGTGAGGAGGTTCTTTTTTTTTTAAGTGGGGAGGTCATATGCTTGGACATTGTCATTTTGTTGCATTGTCAGGTCATATGCTATCTGGACATTGTCATTTTGTTGCATTGTCAGGTCATATGCTATCTGATTTGAGTCTTCATGAGTGTCACGTTACATCTCTTCCTGATGTAGGTGATCTTTGGACTTCACATTGTCTTGGATCATCACCGGGCATTCATCAGGCAGAGAAAGAGAGAGAGAGGCGGGGGGGGGGGGGGGGGGGGGGAGAGAGAGAGAGAGAGAGAGAGAGAGAGAGAGAGAGAGAGAGAGAGAGAGAGAGAGAGAGA